AGAAAAAAACAACCTTGCACTGCGCTAGCCACCTACGTTCTAGCGGACCAGCAAGACGTCAATGTTGAATGGGACCAAGCAAGACTAATGCAGATAGTTCGAGACAGGAGACACCGACATTACGCGGAAGCCTGGCAGATTTGTAAGGCAAAGCATAAAGGCCTTGCAGTCAACTTCCGGGAATCGACTAAAATATCGGCAGCATGGTCCTCTAGCTTAATATAAAATTAATAATTGAAGAAAGTAGTTAATATGTATTTTAAGTATTTATATTTAGATAGTTACGTAACCTTTTATATTTCCGGTTACACTGACGTCATGTACAACGGATTATAAGCGAGTTCGAAAGATTTGAAAAAACAGTTATTCGTACTAAGCGTTCGATTTACGATTGTGGTGTTTATTTTGTTACTTAGTTAATTTTATTTTCTTGAGAAAGGTCTTTTAACAAGACCGAAAACGTTTGAAAGTTGTTATAATAAAGCGTCGGCTGCAAGAAAAGGTGTTTTAGTAAGTGTGTTGATATTACAATATGCAGTCTAGAAAGAATGACTGGTTAAAATAAAGTCAGTCTTTGTTTCAAATATCAAAGCAACTAAGATTTGTTTATGATCCTGGAGTGTGCATGGGGTGGAAAGATTCACACAAATTAGTTCATAGAAACATGTTAAGCTTAAGGGCTGCATTTCATGAACACATACTCGAAGTAAAATAAGAAACTTCTATAAAAAAAAAAGTACCATTTTACAAGTATTTAGAGGAAAATACAGCTACTTTAAGGAAACATTTTCACTAAATGAAATGTTTTCAAATGTCTATTTGGATAAAATTTAGTTTTTGATATCATGAGCTGACTTTTTTCCCTTAAGGCAGTTGCATTTTTGTCTTGATTTTTCCAAATAAAATCATCAACATAAAGACATGTTTATTTTAAGCAGATAAATTAAGAGAACTTTTTATAATTGTAATAGCTAAAAATAGATATGGAATTTTAATCAGATATTTAAAAAATTGTATAAGAGAGAATTTTCCAAAACGTAATTTAACTAAACAATAACATAATTATTAAGAATCAAAATATTTCTTATACACTGTAAATTATTTTTAAGTTTTAACTCCAAAAAATAAATGGAATGAGTTCTATGAATTTCTTCAGTAATTTTATTATTTGATTTTTGATTAATTCTCAATTATTAAAATTAATTTTTGACTTTAATTTTATTAATTTAGGTATGGCAGTCCTAATAAAGTTAGTAAAGAATACAGAGAATTTGCTGATTATTATTTGCATGCCTTCTCTGGAGGAATACTTGAAGTTATGTTAAAAGTGCTTTTAATGTATAAACAAAAATTATTTGTATCATCCAGAGTTCTTCAACAAGCACTTAACTACATTAATCAAGCGTAAGTGAAAAGTTTGAATTAGTGTTATAACTACAAATATTCAGTTTCAATAAAATTTAATGTAATATTTAATAAATTTTGATTATTCAAATATTTTTTAAAATCCAAGTTTTGTATTTATATGGATCTTTTTAATACTGCTCTAGTAAAGTGTTATGCAAAAAAAATTGAAAAATGGAAGAAAATTGTCTTGCTTTATATTNAATTAGTCTAGAATCGGTTAATTTTATAGAAGAAAACCTTTCGAACAGCCTTAGTCCGTAAAGTTCCCACCTATCGGGCTGCGATTGGCTCATGTATTTAATCGTTCCTACAACGTAATTTTCGGTTAGCGTGGAACGTATCTAAGCGTTATAGGGGGGTCTACTGTACATGCTTTATGTGAGAACCAAGGGGGTAGAGCACCGAGCTTCTCCCCACTTATCGGCTTCTTTGTTAGGGATGGTCGGTGTGATCAATGAATAGGAGGGTGAGCGAGATCGTGACGAGGTGTCGGTTGTCCTCAAGGATGACACATAATTATATATATAAGAATAACATATTTAATTATCTAAAGCTATACAAACAAGTACAAATCAAAAGGCTACAAAAAGGGAATAACCCAAAATATTTCTATATCGCGACAAAAGAATATACGGTTGTCGATAAGTTGTCTAATTTCTAGACTCTGTAAGACACAATATCTTCTAAGTTCAACTAGCCTAAGTTCAATCTATAACAGAGAGAGTGACGAGAAAGAGAGGGGGTTAAAATTTGTCTGTGTTACCTCGCGCTTTCCTAGTATGTGTTGTCTTTGGAATTCTCCCGGATCGGCAGTCCTCTCCTTTCAATCAGGTTAGGTTCATTGAGAGACAGACAGTGATTATGGCAGGAAGGTAAGGGTGACAACGGATGGAATGGTGGTATGGGTCTGGTGTCCTCTGATGTCCACCCAGAGGACTGTCCAAGCACTCTTTATACATGTCCCGGAGGGGGACTTATCAGGAAAAAAATCTGATGCAATCGCATGTAATTTCAACTTGTCCAGGGTTGTTTATGTTAGTTGTTAAACATCCAAATCTTTCTGTAGATTTATTACTTCTTCTATCCGGTATTGTCACTTCTTCCCCCTCATAAATTTTATAACAGTTGTCAAACTAATGGAATTAATTGCTAGAGGTGACTAAGGTCAGAGTTAGTCTTGAACCTTAGTAATGATTGTTGCCTTTTATGGTCATCTTGATCTGTTTTCTCATCGTTCACATCGAACGTAATAGAAGGGGATTTCGTTCGGTTCAGCCTACCCTTGTCGGTGACCTTTTTGTTACCCTCTATCATGTAACAAGTTGAGGTTATTGTTAATTGGTTGGTTATTTATACATGGAAACGAAGGTGGCAATGAATAATCCCCGGGTGTCAGGGGAAAACTTTATCTGTCGTCCTAAACATCTTTGAAAGTCTAGAAGGTCACCTTTCGAAGTGATGACGTAAATGGATGGGTCAAAGGTTTTGCTTCAATCTCCAAAAAAAATGAAACTGGAGGAAGAAGGAAAATAATGATAAAATAATAAAAATTTTTGTTTTGAGTTTAAAACTCATAAAAGAGCCTCCATCCTCACTTTACATAACATAATTAATATGCTTTTCATACATAAAATTTTTTGTAACTAATATGAACATTGCAACCAATAAGCATTGATCTTGTTTAAAAAATTCTTTAAAATTTTTGTAATGTACAAATGTATTAATATTTTATGAGTAAATAATTAAAAATAAATAAATAAAAGTGAATAAGTAAGAGTAATTGTAGTTATTTTTTAATAAGGCTGTAAATCAGTATGATGAAGATGAAAGAGCAGATTGTCCTTGGTGGAAATGTAAAAAGTGGGCTATGCATATTTTAACCAGAGTCTTTGAGAGGTAAGAAATAGATAATTTTTGTTAAATGTTAATTATTAATATATATTTTTGGAGGTTTAGATAAGTCATTTCAACTTCGATATGATAAAGTATGATTTAAATCAAATATATTTTCTTTGTTGTTTTTTTTTTTCATTAATTATAATGAAACTATATAGATTGACTGGTTAAATCAACACACTTACTAAAACACCTTTTCTTGCAGCCGACGCTTTATTATAACAACTTTCAAACGTTTTCGGTCTTGTTAAAAGACCGTTCTCAAAAAAATAAAATTAACTAAGTAACAAAATAAACACCACAATCGTAAATCGAACGCTTAGTACGAATAACTGTTTTTTCAAATCTTTCGAACTCGCTTATAATCCGTTGTACATGACGTCAGTGTAACCGGAAATATAAAAGGTTACGTAACNTAGACTAAAGCTAGGTAAAAAGTAAAAAGAGTGTCTGATATTATGAACATTTATCTGTACATTACTTAATTTTGATGTGTGTGTGTCTTGTTTTTATGTATTATACTTCAATGTTATTCGGACATGTTTTAGAGATAAAGATAAAATGAAAAAAATTATAAACTGCAATATAACTTAAAAATTATTATTTTTATGTATGAAATATATAGTAGATCGATGAATTTATTCAAAATAATGATGTGCTTTATCTATATTATTAGTGGATTTTTTTCTGAAGTTAGCCATTTTTTGTAATTTAGTTGGTTCGGCAAATGTACATAAGATAGCATTCATATTGATTGAAATTTTGAAATTTGATTTATTAGATATTATCAATACAAAAGTTTATAAATTATGTAATATGAATATAAATTATACAGTTTTAAAATAATAACGAAGTTACGTGGCCTATTTATATATATATTTTTTTATCTCAGTTTGGCCTAAATCATAAGATTTAGGCCTAACACGCAACATTTTTGTCAAATAAATCAATATAATTGGCAATATATTTGTTGATTTTTTATTAATCAATTCAAGCAATTATTAATTAGTACGTTAATGTGCCATATTTAACTTAACTCATATAAAAAATAAAACAATTCAAAATTCGCTTGCAAAACATGGTGACGAAACTTTAAATCAGACAATGATCGCGGTTGTAAAAAATCGCTTATATTTCAAATTTCTAAATAAATTATGCTAACTGTTCATTAACAGACACACTACAATACACAAAAATTGTATTTTTATTGCTGAAAACATAATGTTACATTTTAAAGCTAAAAATAACTTGACATATAGAAGAACGTAATATTATGTTTTTTGTGTTTTCCTGAAATGTAATATTACGTTTGTAGCAGGGTAAGTGCTAAATGTTTTAACATAACATTATATATATATAGTAATACTAAAGTTATATACATATACATTTTTAAGCAGGATAAAGATGAAGAAACAAAAATTAAAATTAGGAGGAAGGAAATAATGAAATACAAAAATATTAACAATAATTATAGGATGTAAATTTTACATGATATGTAGTCTGTTCAAAAAAAGACCAGACTTTTATCATAGTGCACAAACCATCTCGCTGATTGAGCTCTGGTAAGTGGTGTCATCTAGCAACAAATTTAAGTAACAACACAACTTGGTGTGTCTTACTACTATGATCAGTTGGCGATCTAGAGCTGTGAAAGTGAACACATGCAGTCATCACTCTGAAAAATGAAGATGATTTTAAAGAGCAACATGTTTCTGTGAAGTTTTGCTTTAAGACTGGCAAATCTTTTACTGAAATGTGGGCTTTACTTTGGCAGATCTACAAGGAGGACTTTGAGCTTCACAGTGCCACAAGTGGTTTAAGCATTTTAAATTGTGCAGAACATTGAAGAAGATTCAAGATTGGAATGACCTTTGATGTCAACAAATGATGTAAATATTGATTTTGTAAATTCTGTGATTTGTAGAAATCATTGTTTGACTATGCAAGTGGTTGCGAGAAAGTCAGCATTAGGTCATGCCACAAAATTTTTACCAAAAAATTTGGTGTGTATTGCATCTTTGCAAAACTCTTGCTACGTCTGTTGACCAATGACAAAAAGAGAACCGTGCCAAGATCAGCTTTATTATGCCAATATCATAAAAAATTTCATGAAAACCATCATAATAGGAGACAAAACTTTGGTTTATGGCTACGACATAGAAACCAAGGCGCAATCATCACAATGGATGGGCAAATGTCACCTTAACCAATAAAAGCATGCATGAGTTGGTCAAACTTGAAGTAAATGTTGATTGATTTTTTTTATCATCAAGGAGTTTTTGTATCATGAATTTGTGCCGCAGGGTCAGAATGTTAACAAGGCTGTCTATGTTAGAAGTAGTAAGGCATTTGAGGGAAGATATGGGAAAACAAGAGATGAGTGTAGTATCATGACAATACTTCATGTTACATATCTCTGCTTGTTGGCCAAATTTTGGCTGCTAAGAATGGTGGTTGTCCTTTTTCACTTCCATACTCTCTATACTTGGTCCCTGCAGACTTTTTCCTGCTTATAAAATTGAAAAACAACCCTGAAAGCTTGCCATTTTCAAAGTGTAGCCAGCATTCAATAAAATTGACAGAGAGAGAGCTACATGCCATCTCACAAAATGAGTTTTGGTGGGCATTCCAACAGTGACAAAAAACTATAGGACTTCACAGTACTCACCCCTGCTTGCAATGCATGCAGGGGTGAGTACTTTGAAGGGGATAAACATATACAGTGAAACCTCCATTAACGGACACTCCTGAATAGCAGACACGTCTACTTAATGGACATTTTTACAGTCCCTAGATGCTTCAAATAGGTCATCTATTATATTTACCTCTAAATAATGGATGCCATTGTCCATAACCAACCTTACGAAAACATAAAGTCTCACCTTCAATATTCCAAAAGAATTAATTACATATGAAATATTTTATTAATTATTAAAATATTATATATAATTATTAACAAAGAATTCGGTTTAAATACTCTTTCAGACAGTGAATTTTAATTGCAGGCATCAAATAAAGACTGGCTTAAAACAAGATTGGGAAGGAGGTCAGGTCTATGTCTTGTTGGAATTAAGCTTATTCCAAAGTTTTGTTTGACAAGAACCATAGTATAGTAGTAATGAAAAAGAAACTTGAGATGTGGGAAAACTGAATATCTTAGCACATTTTAAAGTGGTTGGAAAATTGTCTGCGTAACACAACCTTTGAACTTTCATCAACAAATGCTGCTGTCATAACCATTTTAACGGCTTTGTGGTGGCTGAAGTGTAATTTTTAATAAATCAATTACTGAAAAAAGCAAAAATTGTTTAAAAATTTACACTTACTTGATAACTACAAAGCAGACAAATTCCTGTATTGATTTTTTTTATTAGTCACTTAGCTCATAAATGGCATTGCCTTCATAACTCTACATTTGAATGAGATTCAATTAAAATGAGTTTTACAGCTGAAAAAATAAATAAATATTGTGTATATACATATTTTAATTATATATGTTATGTATACTTTTCAGTATATTTCTAACTCAAATTTGACATTTTCATAATCCATCGCCGTGTTCACTTTATAATGACCAGGTTAAAATTCAATATGGCTGCTGGCACATACCTCCGAATAGCGGACAAACTTCTTGATAGTATCTGCTGTTTGGAGAGTATACTGTATAATAATGTAATTATGGTAATAAAGTTTGTATGACAAAAGTCCAGTCTTTTTTGAATAGACCTTGTGTTCCAATTGGTTATTGGAATTATTGCTATGAAATGGGAGACAGAGTGAGAACCTAAAAAATTAATAGTTTTAATTATAACAAACATTTAGTTACCTGCTGGATTTAAATATGTAAGTAAACAGAAGAAAAGAAAGCAACAGGGCTTCCTCTAGTAACAATGAGCAAACAGTGATGAGTCCAGCACAGAATCCCACATTCCTCTGGACATAGGGAAATGTGGCATTAAGGAGATTGGTTTCCACATTGCGAGCAATGGTGCAAGTCCCCCGACTGGACTCTGCCAGAGTGGCTGCAAGACCCTTAGCTGTTTGTTAGCATTGTTGCTTCTGGATTCAACCTCTCAGGAGTCAGATTGCTTGAAAGTGCAGCCCTAAGCCCGTGGTAAACTTCACAACTAAATATGGCCATGAGACCAATAGCAAACAATTATCATGAGGGAAAGTTGAAAAAACTTTGAAAAGAGAGAGTTCAAGAGTATATAAACCTGCTTCATGATAAATGAGTGATCCCCAACCTCAGATTAGATGATATTACTTTCTGAATTTAAGTAAGCAGAGGAAAAGAAACATTTCAGTAAATTTGTATCCTTGTCTACTTAAACCTTGTTTATTAATAGGACTTATTATACTGGTGTATTTTCAATTAGGAAATTGAGGAGATCTTAGTCAAAAGTCAAAACAAAATATCTTTATTTTCACAATGAAAAATTACTGGTCACTTGCCTGGATTCAATCCTAGATTTCCCATAGTAGTAACAGTAGGATAGATAACACTTTTACTCTACCATGAAGTAAATTGCTTAAAGTATTTTTTGTATTACATTATCTTATTTCTTGCTTTTGTTTTATATATATATAATTATATGCAAAGTTTTAAATTTTAAAGAAATTTTTAATGTGTTTTCAGTGTTAACCATGCATTTTCTTGGAAATTCCTTAAAGTACACATGATGGTATGTTGAATAATTATTTTATTTATCTAAATCTGTTTAATATTTATCATGTAATGATAATAATGGTATATTATGAAGTTGTTATAAATAATAAAATGTTTTATGTTGCAACTTTTAATGTTTTGTATCAAAATTATATAATTCAGTTTTGATTTATAAATTGTCATTCAGATAGCATATTTTTTTTATTAGGTTTTACTTTTATTTGGATTTAAAAATAAAAGAAGTATATAGAATTAAAAAATCTTAATTACTAATATCAATCCAAAAATTATCATGAAAAACATACTCTCCAATAAAGTAGGTCATTTGTAATTTATTAAAATTTTTTTTAGCAATTTGTTTATTAATGTTTAATTCAAATTTATAGATTTGATAATTCATCTAAATCTGTATACAGTAAAACCTGTCTATGGAGACCACCCACGGTTCCTTCAAAAAGTGGTCTTTTAGACAGGTGGTCGTCCAATACAGATGGTGTCGTAATACCATATTTCCGTACGTATTTTGCGCAGTTTTTAGCCATTTCTACTAAAAGCAAAACTCGAGGTGAGCAAAAAGAAGCGAATTTTTTCAGCGATAGGACTATATTAGTATTGTATTTTATTCTTATCGGATAACTCGATTTAAGGGAGTCGTCGTGATTTTGTAAGACAGATTTAATACCAATATTTTAAAGATTAATACAATAGTCGCATGTTCTCGATTATAATGCACACTTTTTTTCGACTTAATTAATTCAACTCGATTCTTTTTGTTCGCTCCTCAGTTACGTGTATTACGTCATCGATATACAAGCGTGTCCTATCTCTACATCACTTTGGTTTTGGTTTTCGTTAGTTTAACTTTAAAAATACTGTATTTTTTATATTTAATATTTTCTTAAGTACAACAAGAAAATTATTAATTAATAATAAAACGATTTTATTATTTTTTCTCATAATACGATTTCATTACATTCGAAAAAGGAAAGTTGCCTGTAAAACTGATTTTTGCATTAATGCGTTTATTGCTTTTTGAATATTTTGCGTGCGAAAATTATTTGGATATTATTTTTCTAAAAATATCGTGGAAATAAGGTAGGTTGATACAGAAACTATTTATCGCACATGTACAGTACTCTATATAAGCTTCAAAAATAAATAAATAAATAAAATAAATTTTATCAAACGATGAGATCAACCGATTAATTGTATCGTGTACAATATTTTAAACCCCTAAGGAAAATACTGTAGGTGTACGGTAAAATAAATTTCGTTTTTCCAGTTAAACTTCGCCACTAATTGCCGTTGTGATAAACCATTTTCACTTTCTCTGATAATTTTAACACGATCTTCTAACGCCAACACTTTGCATTTCTTTCGTTTTTCCGACATTTTCCAACAAACTGAAATGAATTTCCTTTCTTGCTAGACTAATTTATTAACACCTGCACCTAATTTCAAGGGTGGGAGAAGTGCCCAGGATGAGTTCGAACGAGAGTTTACACTAATTCATTATATTAGGAGGGGGAAACGTTGTTGAGATGGGTTCGAACAATAGTTTAGACCAGATACACTCGCGAAAGTGGTCGCTTATTACAGGTATTGTATGTTGTTTCGGACCAAAAATCTATGCCAGCGGTCGCGTTACACAGGTGGTCGTTTAATACAGGTAACTTATACGAAGACTCTATGGGTAAACTATTCGGTGCCAGAAATTTTTGCCCGTTTTGACAGGTGCCCGTCGAATGCAGGTGGTCACCTAAACAGTTTTCACTGTATATACACCAAAATGAGTGATAGTTAATCTTATGACACTCTTCTATTCTTAGTCATTAATGGCCAAAATGTGATAAAATATTGAATATCTGTTAATACAATTTCTGTAATAACTCAGGATATAATTCTTCATAATTGAAGTTTACTATTTACAAAAATATCAAATTTTCAAGTCTATCTTAATCCTTTTTTTATACAACACCAGAAGTAACAGTTAACATGGTTTTTTTTTTATTGAAGAATAACTTCTTAAAAAACAAAGGTAAACAAGTAAAAAGAGAGATCACAATGTTAAAAACAATCAAGTGTCAGCCTTCTTCTAAACTTCAATTATGAAGAATTATATCCTGAGTTATTACAGAAATTGTATTAATATGCAAATAAGTAGGATAACTCGAAATTACCACCAAAGGGCCTGAAGCAGTTAAAGAATGGATAAGGACAGTATGGTGAGAAGAATTCTTCATGTTTTTAATGTAAAGTGTCAGAACCTACAATAGAAGGCTGACAGTTGATTGTTTTTAACATTGTGATCTCTCTTTTTACTTGTTTACCTTTGTTTTTTAAGAAGTTATTCTTCAATAAAAAAAAACCATGTTAACTGTTACTTCTGGTGTTGTATAAAAAAAGGATTAAGATAGACTCGAAAATTTGATATTTTTGTAAATAGTAAACTTCAATTGAATATCTGTATTCATGTAACAAAAATTATTGTTATTTATGAGAAATACTCTCATAAATAACAATAATTTTTTTTGTAATAATACAAAATATGATTCCTTATTTATGTTCATAAATAAAAGTCCTATTTACGAGGGAGAGTCAATAAGTCACAAATGGCATTTTTAAAACTATCAAGACAGATAGAAGTACAAAACATGATTAGTTTTGGAAGTCACCCTCTCTTTATTTTTCAACATAGTCTCCACCAATGTTAATACATTTGTCCCATCTTGGTATCCAATCTTCGAAGTCATGCCAATAGAACTCTGGGTTCCGTTGCCTTAACTGTATTTGCATCATCCATTCAACCTCCTTGTTGTTAAACCTCCTGATGCCCATCAAGGTGGTTTTTAAGTGGGTAGAAGGGATGAAAATTACTTGGCTCCAGGTATGGTAGAGAAGCTCCCAGTTGAATTCCTGAATTTTTTGTTGAGTGATGTGCTCTGCTTCAGGACTAGCATTATCATGGTGCAAAATTACCCATCTATACAATAGGCCAGGCTGTTTTTCTGGATGCCAATTCGCAACTTTGTCAGAATGTCACAGTACAATGCAGCATTCACATTTTTGCTTTTCTTTTGAAAATGCACCAATAGTATGCCTTTGTGGTCTCAAAACACTGTAAGCATAACCTTTCCAGCTGATGGTGTAACCTAAAATTTCTTGCTTACAGGTGAAGAGGGATGTTTCTATTGCATTGAAGCATATTTTGATTCCAGTTGATAATGGTGCACCCACAACTCATCCCCGGTAACAATTCTGATCAGTGTGTCTTCTCCATCCTTTGTAAATTGAATGAGATGTTCCAGGGATAGTCCCATGTAATTCAGTTTGTGGTTCTCTGTCAGTTGTCTGGGTACCACCAGGTGCACATTTTTCTGAACTTCAAATGATCATGCATTATGCTATAGGCTAATCCATGGAAACACTCAATTTCAGCTGCTTTAGAATCAATTGTTACTCTCCTGTTAGCTTGAGTTTTCTCCTCCACTCACTCAATTAATGGTGTCTTCTGTAGCAATCTAAACAGGACAACCAGGTTGGTTTTTATCATAAACCTGTGGGTGTCCTTGGGAGAATTTATCTACCCAGTTGTGTACAGCTTTACAAGACAAACAATTTCCACCATAAACAGCAAGCCTTTCCTTATAAATATCCTTTGCAGGAAGGTCTTTTGTTCACAAAAATCACACAACAGCATGCTTCACTTGTACACACATCCAGCATGGTAGCCATGTTTACACTGAGCTGAGCATGTGCAAGCAAGCACTCAACTCAGTGTAAACATGATTGGAAATGTAACTGAAATGAAGTAGCATAATGCTGCTACCTATTAATAACTTTGGAAACTAAATAAATACATCATATGTGAGCCAATAATGGTTTGGGACTTATTTACTGACTTTCCCTTGTATAATGAATACCGAAGACATATATGGAATTCTTACAATTTTGTTTTAATTGTAAATAATTTAAAACAGATTATTATTATTATGATTATTACTTATTTATTTAAAAATATAAATATGTATATTGTAATTCTATTAATATAATTAAAATTTAATAAATTTGAAAGCTTGTAACATACTCTTATTATTCCTAACATAGGTTGTCATGCATAGAAATGAAAGAATTTAAAAATTAATTACATATTTTCATTAATGTTGATATAAAAATTGAATTGTAGCATATTTAATTGTAAAAATAATCTGTTTTTAAACTTATATTAGTCAGATATGAGTACAGTAATGTTGGACTGCTTTTTTCAGAACATCAAACTATATTATTATATTATATTATTGTGGAATACTAGTTTGTGGGGGGGAAAAGTATGGAAAGAACTATATTCAACATTTTTAAGGGTTCTCTCATTGAATAGCTATTGTGTCTTACACATAGCAGAATTACACAAATAAAGTATTAAATTTTTATGCATGTTTTGCTTTTATTTTACTAATGTTTTAGATATAAGTAATTACCTGTCTTTGGCGNACGAATCCGCTGATCAAACTATATTATTATATTATATTATTGTGGAATACTAGTTTGTGGGGGGGAAAAGTATGGAAAGAACTATATTCAACATTTTTAAGGGTTCTCTCATTGAATAGCTATTGTGTCTTACACATAGCAGAATTACACAAATAAAGTATTAAATTTTTATGCATGTTTTGCTTTTATTTTACTAATGTTTTAGATATAAGTAATTACCTGTCTTTGGCGTTAGCCTTGACCAATGCTGAGGGTCAAGGCTAACGCCAAATTCGTACTGCATTGAATAGACTAGTGACTAGTATAATGTTATTTGTTTAACTATTGTACAATGTAAAGAATAAAATATCTAATTATTCTTAATATAATGTTTTACTATATTGCCCAGAAAATTGTTTTTCGCCCCCCAAAATATAAATTGTTAGTAATCGTCCCCTCAATGTGGAAAAACATCCACATGGGGGCGATATCGCCCCCATTGAGAAACACTGATCTAACCAAAGTCCAAAATTCTCTATTAGCTCAGGATAAGGGCTTAGTAAATACCAAAAACTCATTATAATCATCTATTTTCCCTGAATACAGGTGAAGGGCTTAATGCTGGGAAAAATCAAAGAATACAATTTAAATTCCTTATCTAAATCTTTGTGGGATGGAACTGCTAGAAACATTAGAAATGCTTGAGCAAAAGTTCCTTTATGAAGACCTTTTTTCCTTCAGAAAACTTTCTGATATACTTATCACTCACCAGTAAAGGCAAATAATCTTTGAATAGAAGACCTCAGAGCTTAACTCCTTGTTCCACCAAGGCACCATTTCAAATGATACGTGATCTTCTCTTGAGTAGGACAGCTAAAAATGCATAACTTCTAGTTGCTGGCCCTTACTATCAAAAGCTGTCAAGTCCTAACATACAACATGAGAGAGAGAACACAGTCTCAAATCATCAATGTTCATGTATTGCAATAGAGGAAATATGATTGATGCCTGCAAGAGCTCCCAATGCAGAAAAGGCTAAATACAACAGTGTATTACTTAATGTCCCAAGAGAGAGTGATTTGCAATGACTGCCCTCAAGTAGGCTCATTCAGATGATGCAGCACAGATACCACTGCAACAAGATGGAGAGAGACAATGAGAGGAACAATAGACAAAATTAAAAAATTGAAGAAATTTTGTAAAAAGTAATTATATTTTATTAAAATATTATGTATTCCCAAATAACAAAACATTTCAACTTTTAACTTCAATAATTTCCAATGTCTTGCAGATATATGACCAAGTTTCTTAATGTTTATGTTAACTACTTTTTTTTTAAGAAGAATTAAGCAGTTGTTAAGAACATTATGTAATTTTAAAGTATTAATGAAGTTTAAATTTCCATCTGTAAAAGTATTATTGAATGTTTTTGAACTATGAATGGAAGCAAAAGAGATGTATAGAAATAGCTGATTTTGAAAGTTTTAAAGAGAAATATTTTATATACTTGAATTTATTTTTATTATAAATAAAATGTAAGAATTATTAGTTGAGAAATTTTACACATCTGATCAATTAATTGGTTTCTTAATAAAATGATTAGATGTTGTATTCAGTCATTTTAAAACGCTGATAAATTTTTTATTGATTTAATTGAACATGACTAAAAATCTATATTTTAAAATATAAATCTTAGTAATCAATTTTAATGTTTTTATTCTAGCCCATTATTCAAGATGTAATTTTTCCTTTAATGTGCTATACAGATCAAGATGAAGACTTGTGGAATACAGACCCTCATGAATATATACGTCTCAAATTTGGTAATGTAGTAAACTGTTTTAAATTCATAAATTAACATTTATAATAAAATTGCTATAATTTATTAATGTGTGTATGAATTACAAATTGTTACATGATACAGACCATAATCCATTATTAAATATTTGAATGTTAATCAGTTTTTTATATTAATATTTATTGCTGACAGGATATGATTTTTCTTCATATCTTTACAAGTAAAAGGTCTAAACAACTATAAAAAATTTTGTATCCAGTGATTTACTTGACAAGTTTAATCCAGTTTATTGTTTTGCTTGGCACGACATTTTCCCTTCTGTTTGAAAGAATTGTCTGCACTTATTGAATAAATAACTAAAATAATTGCTGAATTTTGATATAAATATGCTGTTCAATGTTAAACTATTTATGTCCAAAATAAAAGTGTGTATAACTGAATAAAATGGTTAGAAACTGGATTATAATATAAAACATCCATCAGACATTAGCTCTGAAAATGTCAGTTTTTGCTTTTTAATCAGTTGGATGTTGTCCTGACCTTCTAACTTTGTTTCAAATGAATATGTCTGTAACCTGATGATTTCTGTTTAATTTTAAGATTGGGGTAGATGGTCAGTGTAGCCCACTGATTAACTTTTACTACTACTACTACTACTAATGTCAATAAGTTTAATTGTTTTATTGTCTTGTAAACAAAAACTTTCCCTGATTTTAAGCCAGTCAAATTATAATGTTGTTATTTTATTGTAATCTGAAGAATGTTTTCTTTAACATTTAAATAACAACTAGTTTTGTTAGGTCTGAGTACATTTTCAAAAGTGGAGTTTCAGTGTTTAGTGGGCATTTTACAAAGATATACATAATTTCTATAAAATGTCAAAATGATTAGAAATTATTTAATTAAATTAAATAATTAAAAATGAGTTTTATACAGTTAATATTAATTTTTGATCAGGAAACATAAGTAATTAATATGTAATAATTTTCTCAGAACTACAGATTTACATAACTTTCTGCTTATGCCCACATGTCAGAAACATTCAATGATACTAATTTACATGGGGAATTTTAAGCCTTATTGGCATTTTAGAATTATATAATTTTATTATGAGATTAAATATAGATTAACATAAGTGTTTATTTTACTTTATTCAAAGACATGTTAAACAGTATAACTAAAAAAAATTAGCTAATTAAATCTGTCTGACGTATCTGAGTTGTTCTAGGGTTTGATTTAACAATAATGTTTGGAATAATGGATGATAATGGAAATAATTTATGAAAAAATTAATTAATTTACAGTTTCTTATAATTTTTTGTGATCAGGATTTGCCTTTATTTTTTTTATATACTTCATATTAAAAATGATTTTTAAGTTATTTATTCAGAAAAAAAGAAGAAAAATGTACTAATTACAATGTAGGGTATACCCTATATATATATATAATGAAAAAAAAAAAATATATGTAGTTTTTTTTACAGTTAGAGAAGTTGTATGTGATTCCTTGCATGACACAACAGATATCAGTGTGATATTCTAATTCATCCCAGATATGGCACAGTATGCCTAAGTCATTGGCAATTTCGGTGTTAATACATAGTTTGTTCAAAATAGCTGGTAATGATATCACATAGATATGATCATTCACATAGTGCCACAAGAAGTTAAAGGATGTTGAATCGGATTTGGGAGGTCCTGTGACTTTTCTTTTCCATTGCACACTCCTAGCAGGGAAGTGTGTAACCAGTGGTGTGCTGGACTATTCATATAAGAACTTGTGGACAAAAGACATAAATGTATAGTACATCCATATAGTGGTGATATATTTTATGAAACCAGGGGTTCTTTATAAATAACTCTGTATTTCAAAAACTAATTTTATAGAATTTCATGAAATTTTTAAAAATTTTATTGTGAAAATAAAATATTTTAGGAAATTTTTGTAGATTATCCAGAATAAATCTTATTTATACCACTATTATTGTAAAATTGGAGAAAATAAAATATAATTTTATTTTTATCTGTTTTGAAAGTTGGTATCAGATGAATATATTCAACAATATAATATTTTTATTGGGAAAACAATAAATAATATTATGTACTGTACATTAATACATAAATTAATTTTTTTCTAACATTTGCTGTTAATGCTGATTTCGTTCTCGTTAATTCATTTTTTTTATAAATATTCTTATCTTGCTGGATATAGATTTTTTTTTATCATTACAGCATTTTTATGATAACATTTTCTCTAATATGTACATCTAATGATGATTATATAACAAGTAATTAATTGCATTTGATAATTTAGCATGTTTAAATAACTGTTAAGTCTTTCTCGTTTATTTATATAGATGTGTTTGAAGATTTTATTTCTCCAGTGACTGCAGCACAATCATTATTACATTCTGCTGTAAAAAAACGGAAAGAAATTTTACCAAATTCTATGGGATTTGTAATGTCTATCTTAACAGATCCTAATTCTAATCCTAGACAAAAAGATGGTGCATTACATATGGTTGGAACAGTTGCTAACATATTAATGAAGGTAGGTTAGTTTTTATATATAATGAGTGATTTATCATTTTAAATTGTTGTATAACATGAATGAAAAGATTATATATTCTCAAATTTAAATGAGTTTTATAAAAAAAAAAAGTGATTAGACTATTAATAAAATCACATCATTAGATTACAAGTAATTGATTATGTAATATTGTTTTTGTTAATTTATGTAAATAAAATATAGCAATATTGTTCATTTCTTATACAACATATTATATATTACAATAAATTGTTACATTATTTACACTATAAATACAAATTTATGATTTCTCAATTACTATATATCGTACAATTAATATATACTCTAATCATATGCAGTTTAATAATTAAATTATTAAAATAAACAAGTAATTCATTGGTGTATTTCTATATTTAAAAAATACATGACCAATATTTAGTTTTTCTCCAGTGACTGCAGCACAATCATTATTACATTCTGCTGTAAAAAAACGGAAAGAAATTTTACCAAATTCTATTGAAGCAATTATTTAAGCTAAAACAATAAATATAAAGAGAAATAAACAAAAATTTTTTAAATGAAAAATAATTGCATATTGGTTTGGATGACTAATCATGGATATTCAAATTTATTGAAATAGTATGATACACTGAACATTCCAAGCTATGAGTTGAATGAAAATTTAACACAATGACTCATTAACACGTTAACTGCCATCCGCCGCTCTGGCGGTTGTACCAGTTACAGCTGTACAGAGCCATCCGAACGCCCATCACCACATAAACAATGCAATCAATCAATATCGTTTATTAGATACTATAAATAGTACATTCCCAGTACCGCATAGCATTGCTGGGATTTGATACAGAGAAATACAATAACATTAAATTGGTAAGATATGTACATAAATGGTTATAATAATTGAACAAATATTAAAATATTAAAAGTAATACAGTGCATAGTTAAAATAGGAAGGGTAAATCAGCGAGTATATACAGATACAATATTTGTAATACAATTCGATATTTATAATACAATATGTGAAACAGATTGATGTAACATTTACATTAAAGAAAATACAGGATATATATAATATATTGCACGTGTTACACATTAAAAATGGATAAGTTGTATAGTAATTAAATACAGCAGATTATTATAAACAAAAAGGAAGAACATTACAACAACAAATGGTAGGGTAGGAACGTTAGTCCCTCATGGTAGTATTGGCAATCAGGGCATGGCTGTGTACAAGGTTTTGTAGAAGCAGAAACATGTTCTTTGTTGTTGAAAAGCTCATGCTGCTCACAGGGCCATGGTATGTTCAAATTCTTGACGGCAAGCTCAATAGCGAGCCTTTCTTGTTCGAGGCCAACACATCTGTATAAGTAGTGGTCTGGGCCATCAACCTCCCCGCAGATGGCGCAGAGAAGAATGTGTTCATTAGCAAACCTATGCAGGAAGCTGGAGAACTTGCTGTGGCTACTGATGAATCAGGTGATGTCTGGATTGATGGGGTACCAATGCTTGTTACAGTTATGGTGCTTGAGGATGTCTGGAATAAAGTTTAAGGTGGAGTTGCTATGGTTGTGTCACCAGGAATTCTGCCATCATAGTAGTAGATCGTTGTAGAGGATGTTTTTGATTTTAAGAAGACTCAGATTGCAATGTATAGGCTGGAGGGAGTTGTCGTTGGCCGCAGTCTTAGCTAGTTGGTCTGCTTGTTCATTTCTGATGGTTCCTTGGTGTCTGCGGGTCCAGCTAATAAAGTAATGGTTGTTGGAGTTAAGAGCAGATTTCTTAATTGTGGTGGTAATAGGATGAGGCTTGTTACTGTTGATGAGGTCAATAGCAGACTGGCAGTCTGTGTAGATTGAGATGCTCTGTTGGTTGTGATTTTCTTCGGCCCAGTTTATAGCCATGTGGACTGCCTTTAGCTCGGCTTGGAAAACCGTGCAAAGGCTATCCAGCTGAAAACCTTGATGATAAATTCCTGATTATTTTTGTAGGCAGCAAAGGCGCAGCCTATGTTGTCATTAATCCCAGAGCCATTGGTGTAGATCTTCAGGTCGAGTTTGGTAGGAGGATTTGTGCTGATATGATCGTTTATGTAGGGAGCAGTAAGGCCAGCAACTGGCTCATTTTTTTGTAACTTATGGCTGGTATGTCATAGTTGATGGTGCTGATGCTGTGACCCGTCTTGAGTTTCCAGAGCTCATACTTAGCGTTGATAATATCTGTTATAGGTGGCTTCCTAGTGATAACTTGTAAACTACTGTTTGGGGTGGTACGATATGATCTCGAGATTAGTACGAGACCTTTTCGTTGTGAAGATATTAGCTTCCTGTGGGGGTGCACCTTCTTGGCCGCCCAGCCCCAGTTTCCACACGCGTATGTAATGATAGGCGTGTATATATAGTCATAGATGATACTCATCGCATTGGAGTTTAGGCCCATTTCCTGCGGGCTATCTGAGAGAACGCCTGGAAGATCATGTTGGTTCTGTTGGCAGTGTATTTAATGTGGTCGTCCCAACTCAGTTGATGGTCCAGCTATACGTCAAGATACTTAATGGTTTTTCCACTTTAATTGAGTAGTTGTTCATGCGTATTGTAGGAGTACAAAGGTATAGGTTAGGTCCACCGGGCTTATTAAAGACCACACACTTTGTCTTATTGGGGTTGAATTGAATCTTACACTGTGTACCCCACTCATGGATCTTGGCTAGAGTCTCGTTGCCCCTTTTTTCTAGAGCCACTCGAGAATTTCCTCCTATTAGAATAAGGAGACGTCCTTATTCAAATAGGAGGAAATTCTTGAGCGGTCATCAGCATATGCTGTGATATTGTCCTGTCCGAAATTTTCCTGTAGAAAAGTGTCAAAAAGGAGATTCCACAGGAGCGGTCCGCAGACCAATCCCTGTGGGCACCCACGGACGATGTTCCTCTCTGCATGTTGTGTCCCTTGTTGGAGGTAGGCCTTCCTTTCATGTAAGTAGTCTTTGAGTAGGTAGTAAAGATTAGCAGGACAGTTGATTTGCTTTAATTGGAAGAGGATGAGGGGCCACCGGGCTGAGTCAAATGCTTTGGAAATGTCTAGACTAACGGCCAAAACATATTTATAGGTGTCTAGAAGGCATTTGATGTTCTCGATGGCATGGTGGACTGCATCAGAGGAGGAACGTTGCCGGTGGAAGCCATACTGTTCCTCACTGAGGATGAAGTTCGATTCTACGTGCCAAGTTAGTCGATTAGTAATGAGCCGCTCCAAGACTTTTCCAAAGACAGCGAGTAGCGAAATTGGCCTGGCTTCATTGGGCCTCCCAGGTTTTGGGATGGGAATGATTTTGGCTATTTTCCATTTAGCTGGGAAGGTAGCAGTTTGGAGACAGCTGTTGTACAGTACATGTTGGTAATTTGCCCAGGGATCAGCCTCCAAATGGCCTTTGCCAGTTTACTATTAATGTTGTCGATGCCCAGTGCTTTATTATTGCTCAGGCTCAAAAAGGCTTGATTGATTTCACGATAGTCAAAATTTGGGGAGCTATCGGTGTGGATTGGGGCATGCATTTCATTTTGAATATGGTGATGCCAGGGGAATCGTTGTCCAGACTGTCACTGATGCAGAAAGAATTTATTTGGTTTTCAAGTGTATCAAAGTAGTTGCTGCTTGTTGACTCGGCATTGTTGTTAACTAGGATATGTGTTTTCCTGAGTCTGTTTGTGCAGAGCTTCGTAAGGTAGCTCCAGGGATTGGCTGAGGCGATCATGCAAAACCGTCTTCAGGATTGGATTTTTGCTTCTTTGATGTCTTGTTTATAGGTGCGTTGGTAACTAAGGTAAAGATATTTAAGATTTGAACGGCCAGGTTTGGTACTACAATTTTGATAATTTTTCTTAGCCTGTTGTTGATTTTACAAAGTTGGGTAAGTTTGTTGGTCCACTAAGGGACAGAGCGATGCCGAGGAGAGGTTTTTGGAATATGGTGGTTACAGGCTTCTTGAATAACGTTGATATTATGATTGAGTGCGGTGCGTGCACTGTCCCTGTTGTTGAGACTACAGTTGATTATGTTAGAGTCGAGAAAATTTTGAATATCAGTCCAGTTTGCCCAGGCTAGGTTGAAGTTAATTTTGGGGAATGCAGGTGTGTTTGTGATGCAATTATGACTCAGTAGTTGGAAGGAAATATAAGCATGATCACTTAAGCTGCAATCACTGAGAACCCTCCAGTGATTGAAATCGGTAAAGTAGTTCAAACTGCAGGCCGTCACATCTATCCAGGTCTTGCCATGCACAGAGATGTAGGTTGGTTGAGAGAAGGGGTTATTCAGCAACTGGAGACTGTTCTGGGCAATGAACTCCTCAAAGCACTTGTGGCATTGGTCTAAGTTATCGCCTCCCCAGGTAGGCAAGTGTGCATTGATGTCACCGGCAAGTATTATTTTAGCATTGGTAAAATTATTGATAACGTCTTGGATGTTGTTGGTGGTTTGTTCTACATTGGCCTCCCTGGGACAGTAAACATTGATGAATATATACCTGTTGTCATTGTAAATTAGTTCATTGCAGACAATATGTTCATTGGAAAGATTTCTGTGGTATAGAATAGACATATTGGGGTTGGTAATAATGGTGATGTCCCAGNGATGTTTTACATGCTAGTGGTGGCCTCTCGTGGACATCTATGAAGTTGGCTCCAACCGCCGGTAGTCATATGGCTCTGAACGGCTCTAACTACAAGTTGTTGGTGGTTTGTTCTACATTGGCCTCCCTGGGACAGTAAACATTGATGAATATATACCTGTTGTCATTGTAAATTAGTTCATTGCAGACAATATGTTCATTGGAAAGATTTCTGTGGTATAGAATAGACATATTGGGGTTGGTAATAATGGTGATGTCCCAGGGGTAAGCGTCAGTGCCCCTGAGCACAGTGCAGAAGGTTGGAAGGCAGGCGGTATGGCCGTAAAGACAGTACCACCTGCCTTCCAACCTTCTGTAGGGCTCCTGTACAAAGATTATGTCATACCTATAGCATTTGGAGGGAGGTGGCAGAAATGCCTCTCTCTACATTGACCTGTAGTAAATTACAGTAGAGCGTCGTTTATACGAATCAATTGGGGACTGGGGTTGTTCGGATAACGTATTTTTCGGATAAACGATTGTGTACGAAAAAATATATTAACCTATCCCATGTTGAAATTTTTCTCCGTTGCGTGTCGCTTCGCGTTGAATTTTTGTTGATGTTAATCCTAACGAAGACTATTGTATCGTTAAAAATTATTTTTTTATTTTGTACAAACAAAATAAATATATTGAAAAATATAAAAATAATAAAAAATTATACTTCAGAAGTTAATTTATTATCAAAAACGTAAAATATTTGAGTAGCTGAAGACATAGCCAAAGATTGCAGCGCCACAGCACTAGAGAAAATTTAAATTTGTCAACTGGAATTCTTTCGGATAACCGACCTTCCGATGAACGACGCTCTACTGTAATATTATTGGGATTATGATTCATAGTCGGTTCTTTCAATTATAGTATTCTTCATGCATAGATAAACTGGGCAGGAGCTGTCCCGAGCGTTATGGGTTGTCTGATTGGCTTTATCTTGGTGGCAGTTGGTGCATTTCGGGGTGGCATTACAGTTAGAACATTTTTGATAGGTGTGTTCACCCATACAGTGGCTACAGATTGGAGTTTCCTTCGCACAATTTTTTGTAGAGTGACTGAATTCACAACATCTGTAGCATTGCAATGTTGGAACAAAGTCAGCAACTCTACAGTGAGACCAGTTGAGGTTTAATTTCTCAATAACTAGAAGCTGCCGTATTAGTTGGGCAGCCACCTGCACAACCCAGTTGCAGTATTGTCCTTCACGTTTGCCAGAGTTAAACTTGATATTGAATTTTTCACTGAAGTCTTCTTCATTGTAGCTTTGATTTAGTGTTTCGTTCTGTTCATAGACCATCTTAATTAGATCCTCTCTAGCAATTTGTTTATGAACGGAGAGTATAATTATGTGCGGCCTTCTCTTTTTTGGTCTTTTAGTCTGTAGATCAGGGATGTTTTCATGAATGGTTTTTTCAAGCTTTTCAACATCCTCTTGACTGTTTAGATCTATAGCAACTCCACCAGATCCAATACGACGTATGTGATTAACTCCTATTCCAAGTTTAGATGGTTGGATGTTCTGTTGCAGGGTTTTCCAGGTTTGATCGCTGTTATCTTCTTTGTTGTAGATAAGGAGGACTTCTTTGCCCTGCCTTGTAGCCTTTGTCTTTTGTGACGAGGTGGCGTTTATGCCAGATCTAAGTACAGTGCTATAGGAAGGAGGGGTGGGACCCACATTGCGACTATTTGTCCGTTTGAGATTGGCAACTATTTCTTTGGTTTTGTCTTCTGTTGCAGTCATAATTTGTTGCAAATCTTCTTTAGTGGGCAAGAGTGCTAATTTTTTCTCGATCGCCTCGGTTATTGTTTGCTCACATAGGGTTGCCTCAGCCATGCTGATTACTTTAGCAAACTGTTCAGTCAAATATTTCACGTGGTGAGGGTTATTTAGATGCCCTGTTGGATTGTTGTTGCAATAGTCCTTTACCTCATCAAGTAAGGCAAGAGAATTATCAAGAAATTTAGTTATGGCGTTGCCTGCCATGCCAAATGTGTTAACCATGTGCAGAGGTAGAAGAATGTTTGAAATAAGAGTCATCGTAAAAATAACAAAAATGTGGTACGACGCACTATATGCAAGAAGAAATCAATCGTCGCGAAAAGCCACACGCCAAACAGCTAGCTCCAGCTGAGTGGCTAACATGACCACATGGTGGCGACCTTTGTGTGTGAGGACCCGAACAGGGTTCAACTGAGAGGTCCGAATGAGGGGTGTCAATTTAAAATAAAGTGCTCCTTTTCAGACACGAATGGAAAGGATTAGATGTCTCAATCGAACAATGGAAATTTTTGTGTAAATTAGTTAAACAATGGAAAGGAATAAAGTCGAGAAAAAGCAACGAGAGATACATAAACAATGCAGTCACTTAATTTATCCTGGTCTCATAAGATGTTTTACATGCTAGTGGTGGCCTCTCGTGGACATCTATGAAGTTGGCTCCAACCGCCGGTAGTCATATGGCTCTGAACGGCTCTAACTACAACCACCGCTGTGTTGTATTGCCTCATGAAGTGGTTTGATGGCCAAAGGTTGTAGTTTTTTTTAATAAAAATCTATTTTATATCTGATAGTGTTTTTTTTTTAATAGTAAATAGTTAAAAATATTGAAAACTAGTTTAATTATTTTCTTTTATCGCATATAAAGTAAATAATATTACAAAAAAAAATCAAAGTACAGTAGAACTTTGATTATCTGAATTGTTCAAGATAAACAAAAATTTTATGAATTTGCTGATTTGCACTTGGAGAATTGCGATACTGTTTATGTACGTGATGGAATGCATAACTTTTTTTGTTCCAACAACATCTCACCTGGCACAGTGGTCGCAAACTTTTTAATACATTTTGTGTTGTAATGAAACTGTAACTTGACGTACATATTTATAAATAATTTATATTGAAATTACATCATTTCTATGGCCAAGGGCGGCGTAAGGCATGGGCGACATGGACCACCGCCTATGACCTCATGCCTCAACGGTTTATCATTACTTAAAAGCCATGAATGCAACAAAAAAATTTTACTTGTCATAAAACTGTCAAATTTGTATGAATAAAAATTTGACAGTTGAATGTCACAGTTGAATTTGACAAGTTATGAATAAAAATTTGACAGTTTCAGCTGCTTTTTATTTTATAAAATTTGTCTTCTTGTGCCACCAGAGGGCCTTTAAACAATAGGCATTCTGTTAATACTTGTCAGTAGTAGTACTAATTCAATATGAACATTTGTTTTTTGAAAATTTGATCATGATTTAAATACAGCATTTATTTTTATTACTACCGATATGTCATCAAAAAGAAAACGCGTTGTATTATCATTAAAGACAAATTGGGTATAATCAATGGTTTGAAACGTGGTGAGAGTGGACGTTTATTATCTAATAAATATGGTGTTGGAACATCAACGATCTCAGATATTGAAAAAATAAAATGAAAAAAATTATGAAGTTAAACAATAATTGAATTTCTTAATAAAAAAATAATTTAATATTGAAGCTACAGTATATGTAAATCTAGACAAATAATTATTCATACTGTATGTACTGTACATGTCTTTCACTGTCAATTATTATTATTTCGATTATCCAGATTTTTCCTTATCCGGACTACTTTCATCCCCAATTAGTCCGGATAATTGAGGTTCTACTGTATATAAGTGCAAAATAATATATATTTACAGAAAAAAACATGTGCAGTCCAAACAAATTGTAAAATACTTTTAACACATAGATGTAAAAACTTAAGTAGGGGAGTACGTGTAATCACAGCAGGTTTGTAATATATATAGCTGGGGGCTTTGCCATTCAAGGCCATATGACTGTCAGTTGTCGTTCATATATTTTTTTTTTATCTTTGCTCTACTGACTATTGTATAACAACCCTTTTATTTACATTATAATAAAATATTAAAAATCAAATTGTCTCATTTTGGCTTGTTAATATGCAAAATATCATATTATAGGTGGCAGTTAACATGTTGAAATGGTTCGATTACTCTCTCTACTATCTTTAACCTATTCGATGTTGAAATTTTCATTTGTTGCCTATGACACCATGTTGAATTTTCATCGATGTTAAGCCTAAAAATTTTTTTAAAAATAATAATCGTGTTTACTGTATCGTAAAAATTTTTTTTTTATATTTCACAAACAAAATAAATATATTGAATAATATAGAAACAAAAAAAAATGATATTTTAAAAGTTTGTTTTAATATAAAAATTGTGATGAATAGCGACATCTATTATCAAAAACATTCCAATGTAAACACAGAAATATTCGGCAACGCCCACGCAGGTCAATGAGGTCAACACGAATATTTTCGGGAACAACGTAGGACAGGTTAATAAATCTATTTGACTAATGACAAATAATAATAGGACTATATGAGATTTAGATTTGAAGAACAACTACTACTTATTTAGGATATTTTTTTATAGTGCAATCTAAAATATAATACTTAAAATATTAAGAACATTCATGAAATAAATAGGAAGTAAAAGTTTATTGTCACATACATGTAATTAATAATTTTTTAATACAAAAAAATAATTGTTTATGAACTTTATTATTTACTAAGTTAAGTATTTACAAATAATTAATTTTTCAGAAACCAGTTTTCAAAGAACAAATGGAAACCATGCTAGTCACATATGTATATCCTGAATTTGAGAGTCCTCATGGTTTTATGAGAGCAAGGGTTAGTATTAATATTAAATCTAAAAATGTCATGTAGATTATTTGGAAAGAATATTCTAAGAAAGTTTAATAGTTTCCTCTCTCATTACTTTTAATTTTAAGAAATTCATAATTTGTTTTTTGTTTTTTTTTTATTTTATAAATAATAATAAAATAAAAACCTTTGCCATTTTCTATTAAAAAATATTTGAGATTATTTCTACCTGGCATTTTACTTTTANATAAAATTTATTAATAATAATAATAATTTTTTTTTAGGCTTGTTGGGTTTTACATTACTTTAGTGAAATCAAATTTCAAAATGAAACAAATTTAATTCATGCATTAGGTTTAACCCAGCATTGTTTATTAAATGATAAAGATATGCCTGTAAAAGTTGAAGCTGCAATTGCATTACAAATGCTTATTACCAATCAAGAAAAAGGTATGTATATATATTATTTGATTAAATAAATACATTTATATTTACACCCATAATTTATCAGACCAAACAAGCTCAAGTTTTAAGTTTATTCATTTAAATCTCTATATTGCAATACATACAGGGATGTGAGTACAGAGGATTCTGAAAATATTTATACAAGTAACTTAAGCATTAACATTACTTTTTACCCTTGTTGGAATGTGCTTATAGATGACTTAATTTTGAGTACCTGTTTTTGCTAAATAGATCAAGATGTCATTCACTATCCTTCATCTATGTTGGTTGACAGTTGTTTTTAGGGTGGCCATAATGGATGAAATTGTGCTAGCCACACAGCTTTATTGTGCTGATACTATGTATTGGTATATCAATCCTGCATATAAATGAAACAGTTTTAAGCCAATGGATATTTTTATTAATTTTCTCATTTTAATTTCCTATTACAAGTCATTTGTAATTTGTTTTTATTTGAGAGTATTAAAAAATTGTATAATTTATATAGAATGTTCATCTGTTACAGTGTTATAATAGAAATTTAATTACAGTAAAACTTTAGTTTTTGGCAGGATTCTGCTGTTGAAGAATTTATCGTGTTGTGTGGAGTAGTCTGAAAATAAGTTTACTGTGTACATATACAAGTTAATAATGACTTGGTCAGCAGGAAAAATTCTTTTTGTGTCCTGGGATATCAAAGGGATTGGTTGCTAGAATTCTTAAAAAATAAAATTGTGTATGTTACCAAGTGCTGAGAGACACTGATAGGTCAAAGCTGTCATTTGACAAAATTGACCAGGCCTTCTCAGTACAAAAGTCATCCTCTTTGATGACAATTCAAGACTACATTTGATGGCAGCAACTGCCTTCCATATTATTGGGTCTCTCTCAACCAACCCTTTTCAGTCCCAACCTCATATCAAGCAACTTTTTTTCCACCTTTGACAATGGCATTTTACCAGTAATGAAGAAGAAGTTTGAAACTTCATGAAACTTTTCAGTACACATGCTTCAACAAAAGGGATTTCTTTAACCTGTTAAAGTTATAAGTGAGAGTTCCTCTTTCTATCCATAATGTTCTTGGACTACAGAATAAAATTTCCTCTTAATAGCAATAAGGGAACTTATTTTGTTATAGCAGATATGTAGAGGTTCTCCCAAATCCCACAATTGTAGATAACATTATTCAAGCAATTTAATCCACAATTTGAATTTATTATGGGCCAATCTTGTATTTTGGTTTTTTTATGAAACAAAATTCTATTTAATGAAATAAAAGTAAGTCATCTTTGTATGAAAACATGTGAATAGTTCTTGACACATGTAGACAATTCTTGGAAGTTAGCAGCTTTCAGTATTGAGAAGTTGACTAGATTTGGCCACGGAGAAGAAATAAAATTTCTGTAAACTATAAAAATTCTCTGTTGTTCATACTGATTAAATAATTTCACAATTGATGAAGTAATTGCTCACAACAGACCTTTTCTTGTAGACAGTTGTGATGAAGTCATCTAAAGACAGAATAGAACTCTTGTTTCAGCAGTAGCCTACAAAGAATAGGGAAACTATTCTGAGCTCTTCTGATAACTCAATGAAACTGATACACTCAATTCAATAAGTCTCCTTAGCAAAAAGCAGTTAATGAACTTTAGACAAATTGTTATTCTCTGTTTCATGTTAAGGTTTCACTATGTGTAATTGGTTGAGATATGTGTGGGTTCCATGCTATCAATAACTGTTATACTTTAACCAATCACAATTTAGTTAACGTTGTCTTTTTGTCATGTGACTACAACTCACCAATTTCAAAGTGAAGCAGGTGTTTCTACTATTGTCGTGTATCAATGTTAGTCTGTGGATTTATTCTGAGCTCTTCCGATAACTCAGTGAAAGTGATACACGGGACATTCGATAAGTTCCCTTAGCAAAAGGCAGTTAACAAACCTTAGACAAATTGCTATTCTGTGCTCCACGTTAAGTGGGTTTCGCTACGGGTAGTCGGTCGAGATGCGTCTGGGTTCCATGCTATCGAGAGCTGTTACTCTTTAACCAATCGCAGTTTAGTTAACATTGTATTTTTGTCACGTGACTGCAACCCGCTATTCTAAGTGAAGCATGTGGTTTTAGCATTGTCGTGTACCAGCGCTAGTGAAATTGTTTTGTTTTAAAATGTCGAAGAAATGCCAATGAAGCCAGCGAACTACAAGTCGCCAGTTCAAGATGCTCGTTAATTTTATAGAAGAAAACCCGAAATTAATGTCAGGGAAGTTAGACACTTTCTTTTCCATAAAAGATTGCCAGAAATTGTGGCAAGGAATAGCCGACTGTCTGAATTTTGATGGAGTCGGCTCACAAAAAGATCCAGAAAGATGGCGAAAAGTAACTGAGAGCTTAGAATATAAATATATGACTATCATTTTAATTTATAAATATGCAAATGAAACCTATTTCAGAAATAATGTTTACAATATAGCTACTTACTTTAAATTTTAACAAGAAAGCAATTACATTATTCATACAATATTCATAAATAGTTAAGGTAATTATTTTTAAGCAATACAACAACATAGTTTATTAATTCTCTCTCCAATTGCTCGTGAAGTAAAATCATTCTTACACCAAAAGACGCCATATTGTTTACACTTTTGTTATGTTCCTAACAGCAGGTGGAGATTGACCGATAACAAAAGCTTAGTTATCTCACGTGGCTATCAGAACCGAAAAGAAAATGTACGGCTCAGAATAGCATTTTCATGGTTGATTAAATGCGAATCATGTGGTGCCAATAGAAACTGGTTTTTATCGTATTTGTTAGCTTAATGATACTACTGAGAATAGGTTCCCAGATTCTTTTGTGTTAAAATGTCATCAAAGAATGGACAATGCAACTGGCAAAGTACAAGTTGTCAGTTCAAGATATATGAGGGTCATTCTAAAAGAAAAGAACATTTTGATCTGACAAGCTGCACAGTTCTCTCCCCCCCCCACTGCTGCATGCGTCATGGACCTTCCCATTTTTTCATGCCAATCTGACGCTAACAGTGAGCCGCAACAATTGTTTACTGTTTATAGTGTGACTTTGAAATGTGTGACAAAATTAAAGATCCCACTAAGTGTGAGGTTCATAGTGTAATATGCTTTTTGAATGCTAAAAAAGTCCGCCTGCCCTATTGAAATTTACAGACAGATAACTGAAGTTTCTGGTAATATGATAAATGAAGATTCAGTTTGAAACAAACAGCAGGGATTGTTGTCCAGAGGCATTGTATTTCTTCAGGATAACACACATCCACATGCTGCTGCATTGATGAAGAACTTGCTTCAGCAGTTTAAGTGGGAAGTTTTTGAAAATCTTCTTTATAGCCCAGGCTTGGCTCCGAGTCATTACCATCTTTTCCCAAAATTGAAGGATGTTTTGGCTGGGAATCACTATGGAAGTGACAACGAACTGAAAGAGGCCATTAATGATTAGTTCAAGAACTTACCGATAACAAAGTGTGCAGAAGGCATAGAAAGGCTGGTGATATGCTATGACAAATGTTTAAATTTGTATAGAAAAATAGCTAAGATATCACATGTGTTGTAAAATAAATTTTGTTTCATTATCTTAAATAAAAATATCTAGAGAAACAAACATTCTTTACTTTTAGAATGACCTTTGTAAGTTAAAATACTTCAGCTCTAGGTTTTCTCATGATTTGCTGAATAAATGTAATAGTAATGGCTTTGGAAGATGATAAAATTCTTTAAACTGTATATCACTCAGCTGAAAAGCATTATCTCAAAGAGGAAACTGAGATTTGTGACATCGAATGCTAATTTTCTCTCTCAATTGCTTATGAAGTAATATTATCTTTACACTTAAAGTTGTGTTCTTTTTGCTTTTGTTGCATTCCTAACTGCAGCTCAAGAATGATAAGAAAAGCTTAGTTATTGCACATGGCTATTGGAATTACAAATGAAATGTACAGTGCAGAATAGCATTTTCACAGTTGATTAAATACCAATCACATAGTTCCAATAGAAGCTGGTTTTTATTGTATTCATTAGCTTAATGATACAACTCAGAATAGATCTCTAGGTCTGTTGCAAGTTATTATTTTGTCAGTTGTGGAACTATTTCATTGTAACAATGCTGAAGGGCCCCCTATTCTTTGGAACCACGGACTGAAGGGTTGACATCATGTCGGCAAAGACCGCAATGACAAATTCATCAGGACCAACACTGCTGTGTCTTCTGGGTAGACACAGAGATCGTTACATTCACAGGTACGTGCGAGCAGTCGCATCTGTGGAAGCTTAGGGTTGGAATGGAGACGGAGGGAGATACTCGGAAGAAGTGCACTCCAAAAGGCTATTCATTTAACAAATACCCGTTTATTCAAAGAGGTTATTTAAAGGATTTAAGACTGAGGAGCTAGCTTTCTCACTAACTCGAGTAATCAAGGGCTTATCATATCAGGAGAGAGAGAGAGCTTACAAAACTTACACGTGACAACAAATACCTGGAGTTCGAGTAGGTCCTTGATGTAGGTTTGTCCTTAGGCCTGTCCAAACAGGTTTAGGATTGAGTTGAGTTCAGGTGCTAGTTCAAGTTTGGTTAAGTTCAGGTGCTAGTTCAAGTTCGGTTAAGTTCCGGTGCTAATCCAAGTTCTGGTTAAGTTCAGGTGCTAAGAAAGGGTTAAGGAGTGGCAAAGGTGAGACACACACGCACACCTGCACATAAAAGTTCATACTTGCTGACAGAAAAAGCCTCTGTCGTCATTGTCCCCACCTGTTTATAAGGGGGTCTCTCCTGGGTTTTTCCCATGACTATACCCGGAGGTTTTAGTACTTTGGACACAATGATTGAGTTTCACTCATTACTTCCGAGTGACACATATGAGGTGTCACTTTAAACAAGGAACTAAGTCTGTGGAAAACATTTTAAGCACTGAGTTAATCAATAATTTTTCAAAATGGAAAATTATCTTATTCCAAACAATAATAATTTATAATGATTTTAT